CTATAGTGTAACAGGTACAATATTGTATTAGGTAACACAATTTATTTTTGCGCTTTTATACCTCTACTAGTGTTACAAAAACGCAAATTCGTTTTGCGCTTTTGGTTTATCGAAAAAAATTGACCTATTGCAATTTTGGGCTTTACCGCTAAATGGTGGTTCACGGACTGGTTAATAATAATTCACTCAAGTGGTAAGYGAAAAAAAAAGTTTGAGAACCGCTGCCTTAGGGCATAATTACGCGGCAGTGGCATATATAGAAATTAATTTCGATGGAGGGTGGGGGGGTTACAAAAAATGAACATTTCAACACTCCTTTCTTCTTAAATTCTAATTTATAATTAGTTACACCCGCAGTAACCATACGTCTCGGGCCTTCGGGGGGGATTTGAACCCCCAAACCACCAACCCCCACCTAAATATACTACACTGGTAAGCGGTCCACCTGGTGGACGTACATGACAGACGTGGACCCTTTTGCCGTTGTCGTATAGGTTAGCTGGTACACAAAACTCTRAYATGTGTGCTAAAAACAAGACATGGGTTACATGTTAATTAGATAATCGGTCCCCGTCATTATTTTGTACATGAACAATTGGTCCACGGTCAATTTTGTTTTGTAATAGGTATAATAGTCAATAGATATAACAATAAGGTACGAATTTTGATGGATTATAAACTTATAGAGTATAAGTGGTATAACACTATACTAGCATCACAATACTAATTATTTTTAGCTAACTGTAATAAAATATTTCCCTTGATAAATAATAATCTTTTATTGCTGAAGATGTTTCTTTAAATATTTTTTTTTTTTAAACCATTATAATAGAGAAAAAAATATTGTTTCTGTTTGTAATAGTTTTGACATTAACTTTTCTAAAGATGAACTATGAACTTTTGAACTATTGTATTCCTTAAGACTTGCTGTAAAACATCGATAAACGCTATCGAGTCTTTATTTTCGTGAGAAATTATATTAGTCTTTATTTGGTCATACATTTTATATTACAAATGACCCCCACCACAGAAGGGGCAAAACGTTTCATTTTTACATTTCGTGATGGACGTGTGTTATGACCAGGGCTGTAAATTTATAGGAAAGTGCATTTTTTTTTGGTGATTGTAAAACATAGCTTTGTCAGTACATAATTTGAATTATGTAATTACGAATCCATCTATATGAAACTTTTATTTTTTCGCATTTTTAGGTCATATTTTGCTTTTTTAGTTCATTTTCTAGTATTTTTAACCAAATTCCGTCGATTGACTTGTTTGAAAACATTTTTTTTTTATTTTACACAGGCTGTATATATTATGTCAAGTACCCGGAAACAAATATCTTTAAGTTTGTTTTATAATTTAAACAAAATAAATAATTTTTTTTTAATGTTTCAGGTGAATAGCATTAACTTAATTCAGATTCAATCAACTTTTTTATTAAATAAACACTTTTTGGTACTAATGTTTAATATCCTGTATACCTAATATTAATATAAATATAAAAATTAA